CAGGCTGCCAATGTTGGGATCCGCAGCCCCCAGGGAGAGAGCTAGAGACCCTCTGTGTTCTCCTTTGCAGAGGGTCTTATAGACCAGGCTACCCCCTTGCCATCTTGCCGGAAGTCCCTATACTTATGTATTTAATGCTGACTCATCAGAAAGTATAACTGTTTTTATTGAACCAATAATATTAAATTAATCTTATTTACCAAAGATGAACTCAAAAGACATTTGGGGACCAGGAATGGTAGCTTACTCCTATAATCCCACCACTTTAGGAGGCAGAGGTTAGAGGATTGCTGGAGCTCAGGGGTTCAATACCAGCCTCAGCAATATGGTGAAACCTCGTTTCTACAATAAATAAATTTTAAAAAATTAACCAGTCATGGTGGCACATACCTGTGGTTCCAGCTATTCAGAAGGCTGAGGTAGAAGGATCACTTGAACCCAGTAGGTTGAGTCTGCGGTGGTGATGAGCATGCCACTGCACTGCAGCCTGGGCAACAAAGTGAGACTCCAACTCAAAAAAAAATACATTTGGGTTACTTTCTATGGAGTTTTAGGAATATTTAAAATATATAAGTGCCAATTTACCTCTAAGCCAATTTTAATAGAAATTTTTGAAGAGACTTTGAAAATTAATTTGGTAAACCAGAGATAGCAAAACATCACATATACATAACATAACACACAAACATGCACACCAATGCAAACAGACATTTTATAGCTTTCATTTTAAAGATTAGCCATGAGTCAATAATATAAAACTCACTGCATTACATGAAACAGTTGAATTTCATCTTTGTACCACTTTATATTTTTAGCCCAATGGTGTTTCTGGCAAAAAATGGGATAAAATACATTTACCTGTTCAATATGAGGACTGAAGCTTTTACTAATATTTGTGAAAACACCTTTAAGTTTTTCATTGCTCTGATAGATAATTTAATGGAGGCTGTGAACTACATTCTCGTCCAGTGACTAAGGAAGCATCAAACAGCTGTTTAGATGACTCCAAAGCCTAACTGAGTGGATAAAATATCCAGTATATTTCCAATTGGGCTTTTATTTAAGCCTCAGGTAGTTGCTAATGGGAGAACCTGAGCCCCTTAAGAGACCTCAGTGGGAGCAACAGGCCTAAAGTTCAAGTGACTGTAAGGAGCTCGAGGGCTGAAGCATGAAGGGAAAAGTCTAGCAGGGTGAACAGAGGAATAGAAATGGGAGGAGATCAAAGGGGAACATACTGAAGAATTCAAAGGAGCTGGAGGGAAGATCCAAGGTGGTAAGAGGAAGAGGGCAGAACTGATGGGAAAGGAGAAGTCTTAGAGGAGCCAGTGTGGGGAAAATGCAAGTTTCCCAAAGAGTCCAATGAAGTTCCCGATTATCCTTAGCAAAATCATGTCACCAAAAAGGAACAAAAAGTCTGCATGAGATTTAGAGGGGATTTTAGTTGGCTGAAATGTTCCCATGAGAGAGGTAGGATCCAATAGAGAGAATATAAAAGCCTCACAAAGAACCAGGAAAAAAATTTTCTGGTCCACTTGTTCCCACTCCAAACAAAGAGGAAAATACTTTCCAGCCCTTGAGTCATAGAATGTATCCTCCCTCAAAACAAAAGAGCCAGGAATTTTCCAACAGGTGGCCAAGGGCAGCAGTCAGGAAATGTATCATCCTTAATCCAAACAAAGAAGAAGGAAGACCTCCAGTCCCACACAACCTTAATGAAAACTGGGCCTTTTTTATTTTCCTGCAACTCTAACCTAGCTTCTTACAAACAGAACACTTAGAATTCTAATGCAGCCTGTCTACAACTCTAACCCAGCTTCCAGAGTGCCTGCAGAATCTTGAGAATAAAAACCTGTCCTTACTAACCATCAGCAAACTGTCACCCAGGATAATGGATCCCTGAACAAACCAGTCAGAAGTGAAGGCAAAGCCTTCAAGGTGCGCAGATAAGAGTCTTAAGTGAGAGGTCCAGATATCCAGAGAAGAATCTGATTCTACCCAAGTCAGTAAAAAAGCAAGATACCATGTCTTATTCATATAATATCCATCCCAATTATGCATTCAGGTGTCAAAACCCTCTTGCCAAAGACTGCCAGGAGCACGTCTGGATTGAAAAAGTTGAATTTCTTACCTGTTTCAATGGAGGAAAGCATACACCTTGCACCATGGAGGAACTGCAGGAAGTGCCATATTGCCAGGGTGTTAAAAAGGGCCATTATAGCATTTGGACTTGAATCAGGAGATCTTGGAGAGGGATCAGGGAAACAAGACTAACCTCTGGATTGGCTGCAAACATCCACAAACATCACCCATGCTATGACTGGGTGTATTTTTTATTATTTTTTATTTTTTTAATTTATTTATTTATTATAAAAATGTGGGGTACAATTCAGGGTTAGGTATACAAACATCGATCATGCGGGTACCCTTGTTGATGAGGTATGCCCCTCCCCTAGCAGTTTCCCTCAACTGCCAGTCCCACCCCCCCTTCCCCTGGCAGTTTTCTGCTACTGCCAATCACTTTCTTGTAGCATTATAATTGTTAAAGGTCACCTTATGAGTGAGAACATATGGAACTCAGTTCTTTGTTTCTGTGGTAAATCACTGAGTGTGATTGACTCCAAATCCATCCAATTTGCTACAAAGTCCATATATTTGTCCTTCTTTATGACTGCATAATATTCCATTGTATATATGTACCACATTTTTTTTATCCAGTCCAGCTTCGATGGGCAACATGGTTGGTTCCATGTTTTTGCTATTGTGAATAGAGCTGCAACGTGTGCAGGTATCTTTTTCATAGAATAATTTGAATTCCTCAGGGTATATTCCCAATAGGGGAATTGCTGGGTCATATGAAAGATCAATTTCTTTTTTTTTTGAGTTGCAGTCTCACTCGGTCGCCCAGACTGGAGTGCAGTGGCCGCTCCCGGCCACCGCAGCCTCGACCTGCTGGGCTCCAGTGATCCTTCTGCCTCAGGCTTCTGAGTAGCCGGATTACAGGCACGCACCACCACGCCCGGCTAATATTTTGATTTGTTGTAGAGATGAGGTCTCGCCTGCCCACGGGCTCAGGCAATCCACTCACCTCAGCCTCCCAAAGGCGTGGGATTACAGCCTGAGCCACTGAGGCTGGCTTGAAAGATCAATTTCTAGTTCTTTCAGAGATTGCCACACTGTCTTCCAAAGAGGTTGTACTAGTCTGCATTCCCACCAGCAGTGTAGAAGCATTCCTTTTTCTCCACATCCTCGCCAGCATCTGTTGTTGTTTATTAATGATCGCCATTCTTACAGGGGTTTGTTAGTATCTCAATGTGGTTTTGATTTGCATTTCTCTGATGATGAGTGAGGCTGAGAAATTTTTCATGTGTCTGTTGGCTACCTGTATATCTTCTTTTGAGAAGTGTCTATTCATGCCTTTTGCCCACTTTTTAAAGGGCTGCTTGTTTTTTTCCTTTCGGTGTGTTTGAGTTCCTTGTAGATCCTAGATGTTAGGCCTTTGTCAGATATACAGTTGGCAAATATTTTTTCCCATTCTGTGGGCTGTCTCCCTGCTCTCTTGATGGTTTCTTTGGTTTTGCAGAAGCTTGTCGGTTTAACGAGGTCCCACTTGTCTATCTTATCTCTTATGGCCTGGGCACTTTGAGTTTTGATCAGGAATCGGCTGCCAGTTCCAACTTCCATAAGAGTGTCTCCTGCATTTTCTAAAGTTCTTACAGTTTGAGGTTTTACGTTTAGGTCTTTGATCCATTTAGAGTTAATTTTTGTGTATGGTGATAGGTAAAGGTCCTGTTTCAATCTTCTGCATGTGTTCAACCAGTTTTCCCAGCATCGTTTACTGAATAGGTTCTCCTCTCCCCAGTGGTTGTTGTTGGAGGCTTTGTCAAAGGTGAGTTGGTTGAGGAATTGAGGCTTTGCTTCTGGAATCTCTATCCTGTTCCATTGGTCTATGTGCCTGTTCTTGTACCAATACCAGGCTGTTTTGATTACTGTAGGCTTATAGTAAAGTTTGAAGTCTGGAAGTGTGATTCCTTGCTTTATTTTTTTTGCTAAGGATTGTTTTGGCTATTCGTGGTCATTTATATTTCCATATAAATTTTTGTATCCAAGTCTGAGAAGAATTATGTTGGTAACTTAATGGGTTTTGTGTTGAATCTATAGATTGCCTTTGGTAGGATGGGTATCTTCACAATGTTGATTCTTCCTATCCATGAGCATGGGATATTATTCCATTTGTTTGTGTCTTCTTGGATTTCTTTGAGCAGTGTTTTGTAATTCTCATTGTAAAGGTCTTTCACAACTGGGTGTCTTGACAAACATTCTTTAAAAGGAGGGCAGACTAGATAAAGTGAAGCCTAATCTGTAATTCATAATGAAGCAGCAGCCATTGAATGAGAGAGGAAAATGTTTGCTTTTCTGTGGTTTGCATACTGACTCCATTTTTACCCAAGCTGAAATAAAATTATGAATTGGTCTTGTCTTTTTCTCTCAATTAATCATAGTCACTGAATGAACTTGTCTGATGCAGACGTTTTTAGGAGATGGTTTGTGTCCAATAGGTCACTCTCCAGCAGCTTGGAAGGCTGGCTGTGTTAAGCCAGCACCCAGATGTCAGGAGCGGCTTTCATCTCTCTCACACATGCTAACCGTTGCAGATAAAAATCTTTTTTAAATTATGTGCCAGTTGATAGAAGAGTTTGGTGGAATCAAACTAAACTTTGGTACCTAGTAAGAATAGATTCATGTGTTCATGTCAGAGAACTCTCTAGTCTCTAGTATTATGTCCAAGAACATAATCTTATTTTTAAAAATAATTGGATAAATATGTTGAAAGTCCAGTTATCAACAGGACACACAGAAGTATTAGGTAAAACTGGAAGTGTCTGTCTCTTGGATTGTCTAAACCTTGGACAACCACCCCACAGCCCCTAAAAAAAATACCATTGTTGATGCTGCTCATAATTATTATTTATTTAATAGATGATAAACTGATCAGAGATATGAGAGATATAATAAGCAAGGTAAGTAGTTGGATGAAATCAAATGAAGTTATGTTCCGGTCCAGGTAGGCACAACCAGATGTGGAAGATCCAGGCTGATTTTAGCCCAACGAATCAAACTTACTTTTCACCCAATGGAAGAAACCTGCAAGAGGGAAAGAAAAAAACACTGTCAAGAGGTTTCCACAAGCCAGGTGTGGTGGCTCATACCTGTAATGCCAACACTTTGGGAGGCCGAGGAAGCAGGATTGCTTGAACCCAGGAGTTCGAGACCAGCCTGGAAAACATAGCAGACCTGTCTCTAAAAAAGAATAAGAAATTAGTCAGGCATGGTGGCATGCATCTCCAGTCTGTGGAACAGTGAGATCTCAGCTCAAAAAAAAGAAAATTTTCTCAAAGAATGAAGATTTGAATCTGAGTGGGGACTAACGTGTCAAATGTCACTAACTTCAGTGAATGCAAAAGGCACATAATACTAATTCCTAGAAGATAAAAAAACAATTCCTGTGCTTAAAAAATTTGGACATGTAGTGCTAGATGGAAGCCAGATAGGTTGAAAGTTGAAAGAGAGCCAGAAGTAAGCTAATATGTATGAGTTTTCCTATAATATGGCACAAAGAGATCCAACCTTCTTCTGATAAGGGAGAAAAAAACTATATTCTCACCATAGTCTACGTATAGATTATTAAGCAAAGTGCCAAGCATTGGCCCAATGAGAAAGTATAAAGCAACATTTGAAGAAGAGTCCTCAGGACTTTGATCATTTGAATGCAATTCCAGTCCTTTTTCCGTCTGCCCATATGTTCAAGGGAAAGTTGCTCATTGTAACTTTTCCATTTCCTCCTCTTTAAAATGTTTGTTTCACAGGATGACTGTGAGATTTAAGTTATAACATAGATGTAAATTTTCTAACATGGCACCCGGCATATATTCAGATTCAGTCCACCAAATTTTGTAATCAATGCTACATGGAAGTGGAAGAGCAGGGATAAAATAAACCCAGAATAAGAAGAATGTGTACTTTGATCTTCAGTGAATATCTGAAATCTGAGAAATACCATGAATAGCACGCAAAACAATCTGCCTCAAGGACAATTATAAAGCTTACTCATGTGTTAAACTATTTTATATTTGGGGGAATTTTTCTAAAGGAAACAAAGAATTACCTGATTTTAAAAAAATAAAAATGAATAAACAGTTACCTAGCCATGGAGGCTTTTTTTTGTCTTTCCAATGATGCTTCTATTAGAGAATTTTCCTTAATAGATGCCAATATTTCAGGATCCATGTAGATAATATTGGAAACCTAGAAATAACATCTTGACTCCTCTGATATTTATCTATTGACTTGACTTAGAAAACCACAAGGGATTAGAGAACAATGTAAAGAAAACAGGGCTTTTCTTATCACTTCTACCACCCTGACCTCAAAAATTTAGTCCCTAGGAGAATAGAGAACCCAGGGTATTCAGGAGTCACATAAAGAAAGCACATCAATGGAAGAGTCTTACTACCTGCTCGGGTAGAAGTGGCTGCTGTGGTAGTAGTAGTCGAAGCAGTATCAGTCGTGGTACTGCTGGGGTCATCAGAAGGCGCACCTGAATCTAGGAGGAAAAGTTCCACGTGAGACTTTGAATCTTTCTCAAGGAACAAAATTTGTGCTGCCACCTGAGAGTGGATATACATTCCTCCTCCTGGATTCATCTCGGCAAATCTGTCATCAATTCTGTCTTACCTTTAGCCTACCTATCTATTTTCCTCTTGCCTCATTCTTTCCTCCCCTGTACTTGCGGGGACAGAAAGAATTTGGGATTTCCCAAATGACACTGATGGAAGAAACAGGCAAGTCCTTTGTCCCAGGCATGAACACAAAAGACCAAGCCCACACGTGTTGCTGTTTACAAGGTCTACCTCCCAGAAGCAATAAGGGAGTCCCTAGTAGCTTGTCATCCCGATGCCCTCCCGCAGAAAAACCTAGGACTGCATGCATTCCGCTGCAGCATGAGTGTAGACTTACCACTAGAAGCGGAAGTTGAACCTCCTTCTGTGGACTCTGAAAGAGAAGAAGGAAAAATAAGATGTAAGATTAACTCCAGTTTTCCACAGGCTCTACCACCCATAAGGGAGTCCCTAGTAGCCTGACACTCTGATGCCTTCCCACAGAATAACCTAAGACTGCTCCCCTTCCATTGTAGCAGAGTGAAGACTCATGGGGCTCAGAGTTTTCAGAGAAAGTTCCCGTATCCTGAAAAGATAAAATAGATTGTAAGAAGGACACCAGCTTTGGGGTTGGAGAAAAGAGAGGATGTGGACAATATTTCACTTCCACAATGGGAGACTCCCAGTCCTTGGCACACTGGTTGAGAAAGAACAGATGCACAGGTAATGTAAAACTTAAGAAAATCAATTTAAAAACCAAATATGTGGCCATTTTTCCTTTCCAGAAATAAGCCTCTATTTACCTTCTTAAACATTTTACTGACAGTAACAATAAAGTTGGCTTCCAAAGTTATTACTTACTGAGTTAAGAACTGACTGAAAGCAAAATCTTACAGGTGGAGTCAAATCCATATTGAATGACCAAAATGATAATAGAACAAGTTAGAGAAGGAGAAGTCAGAAGAGCCAGTCGTCTAGGTAGCCTCAAGCACTCATCCTTGCAGAGTAAATATCTTTATGTACATCACCCCAAAACTTCTGTTCAGGTGAGAATCTTTACTTACGGGCAGAGACAAGGAGGGTGGAAACACCCAGTAGTACCAGGACTGCTAAGAACTTCATGATGGTGAATTAAAGATCAGGGAACACAGACAGGAAAGCTTCAGACCACAGGGAAAGGTAAGACGCTGACTCCAGGATTGCACATAGTGACACTATATAGGCAGAGGGCACCCAGCGGGAGCTGCCAGACCAGAATCTGGGTTGGGTCATGCCAGGAAAGGTGGGGATGCAGAGAAACCCCTGGAGAATCAACAGCACAGCCAGAGGCCCTTTGGAAAGGTCATGAGTTCAGATCCTTGATTCTGACTAAACAGGTTTTGATTCCGGAGTTTCTTATGTTAAATATGTTCCAGGCTTCCTCTTACTTGAGGGGTAGAGTGTCCCCATAATTGCCAGCTCTTGCCAGATCTTGGAGATGACCTGTAACCAGCCTTCCTGATGTCTGCAGTGCTCCTTCCATAGACAGAAGGAGTTAAGTTTACAACATGCATAGCCCTCTGTCTCTTCAAAGGGGAATAATCAGGGTAGAGCAGCCTGATCCAAGGACCATCCTGTGCGAGTCAGGCTGTACATTCTTGAATCCATGGCCCTCCCTCCTGTGCATGTGGCTAGGGTCATCTGACACTGGTACAGAGTAAGTCCGACAGTGAGCTAAAGAATCAAATAGGACCTCACCGAATTGAAACGGTTATTGTGTAACAATTCAAAATCAAGGAGTAATTAGACAGAATACTGAGCTAAAGTTCGTTAATTCTTGCACCATTAAATCAATTTATTCATTCAAAAAATATTCATTGAGCATTATTATATGGCAGCATAATGGTAGACATTAAAACAATAGCAGCGAACAAAGCACACAAAAATTCTATGTAATATATGCTTTTATAGGAATTCATACATTAAAAAGTAAAGAAAGAAAGAAATACAATGTGTTCTATATGAGATGGTATGGTCTAATAAAATAATAATACGGGGGGGAAAGGAGAGTAAGGTTGAAGATGTGGGGTATAATTTTAGATTCAGTGACCAAAAAAGACATCCTGAAAAGGTGGTAATTGAACAGAGGCTTAAGTAGCTGAAGCATCAGTGATGTGGTTGGTATGTTTGTATAGTGCATTCAAAGAAAAGGGATCTGTGAGTGCATGTACATTACAGTCTTTCAGGTCTCTCTTAAGTTGTTGAGTAGAACCCAATAGTGCACCAAGTTACGTCAAATGACTTGTGTTTTCCTGTAATGGACCTAAGCTTCTAAGTAAACACAACAAGGAAGGGAAAAGAATCCACGCATACAACACAACCAAGTATTAGACCCAACCAAGGCCCCAACAAGGAGTGATGACCATCTGGAATATCCAGAATGGTGGGGAATTTGCTACATTTTAAAGGCTTCCCTGCAGTTACATGTCTCCAATTGCTTAAAAGTTCTTCTTGTTCATACAGACTATGCCTTTCTTTACCATACTCTCATTGAAAGGATCTCTGTAATCTGGGACAGCACTGAACATCTATTTTTCCTTTTATTGGACAGTCCATCAGGCAACAGCAGCCAATCTACTCGCCAAGACATGCTAGTGAAGAAGTGAAGAAAGAAAGGCAGAGAAAATTCCTGGGTAGTCTTTAATTAAAGGCAAGAAGTTGTTCTTGTCATAGGTAACCTCACATTTGAGGCACAGAATTGTTGTAACATAGTGAGGGGTTAGCATGAAACAATGTTTTAAAAAATCACCTATTCTGAAGGAAAGAAGGAAGAGATAAGTATTAAAAAGAGATAAAGTAAGGAAGACATAAATGAAAGGTATTATCTGATTATGCCCAGAATGGAATAAACTACAGCTATCCACCCAAGGCCTCCCAACAAAACTGACACAAATCAAAGGGTCTTCTAGGAGATGGTTACTTGTGTGTCCTCCACAGAGGTGAGGTGGAGACTTATCAGACAGACTTCAGGCAATGATTGGCCTTCTGAGGAAAGATGATGAAACATGTGTATCAGTTAGGGTCTACTCAGGAAACAGAAACCAAATAGTGGGTTAAACAGAAGAAGTGTGATATAAAGAACTACTCATAGAAGGAGGCTTCCTCCCTAGGCTTCCTCCCTAAAGCTGTTGTTCAGAATTCACAAGAGAAGCAGCTCTATGGGTAGCAGAGAAGTTTGCCCAGGCTGAAGTTGGCCTGCAGTTGCTGGGGAAGCAGGGAACATTCACCCAAAGTCCAGACGGGAACAGACCATCTGCAACCGGTGGCTTGAGTGTGCAGAAAGGGTGGGGGCTTGGAGTGCAGGTGACCAGCATGGGGCCTGCAACAGGTCTGAGGCTTTATTTTTCTAAAGTTATTGGATTTTGATCATATGGTAGTGCTTCAAATACTGTATATTAATATTATCATTTTAGGAGGGATCTAAAATTTAATTACAATATATCATATGTGAATATATAAAACATACTCAGAGATAACACCATTTTTTTCATTAAATGAACAGCATCTATATAGGGTATGTTATGTGGAATTTAAACTAAGATCTTTCCAACAGCTACAAGTTATTCCATTTTTGTAACACCTGTCAAATATTATGTAATATATCTATGTAAAACCATATATTTTATGTATATCCAAACGTTATCTCTTTCTGCATATACATATATATGTACATTATATAATAATACACATAATTTTCACAAGTCAAATTCAATAGATAATGTATCTCCAAAACTTCCATTTCCCATTACCAGATTTTTTTTTTGCATTTTCTTTATGAAAATTAAAATAGAAGTATAGATAAGAAAGTAAAAGTTTCTGGATGTACCAAAACCATGAGATAACTGCCATTTCATAATTATATGTTCCTGAAAATTTTATGATATATGAACACAAGTATTTATTCCTACTCCTTCATGCCTAATATTCCATACATCACTGTCATCACTACTAAAAAGCAAATATTAAATAAAATTCCCCATGTTCCCATTCTATCTTCTTTGTACACTCAACACTACTTCTTAGAAATCTGAGTCAGTCCCTCTATATCTATATTATTCTTTTCCATAGTTTTACTATATCATAATTTATTCTGGTACTACCTGTTTACAGAAATTCAGGTCATTTGTATTTCTTGGCCATTATCAAATCATGAAGCCTTGATATGCTTCTTAATATACCCTTATGTACAAAGTTTCTATATATATTTTATAAATCCCCAGAGGTTTTTCAGTCAGGTCATATGTATATATTAATTTGATAAATATTATCAGACTGCTTTCCCAAAGGGCTCTAAAGATTAAAATAACAGAAACAAATATTAGAGTATATTTTTACAACCATCTCTGCCATCAGTAAAGTTATCCCTATTGATTTTGCCAATCTGATAATTCAGCAGCAATATTTGCTATTAATTTGAATTTCCTGATTGCAATAAATTTGAGCATATTTCATGTATTTATTTATACTTGGATTTTTCTTCCATGATTTGTATATTCTAGTCTTTTTATTTATTGTGTTTCCTGTGCTTATCTTTTTAAAGACTCTGATTATATATGAAACATTAACACATTATCTTTTTTTATTCTTTTTTTATTAAATCAATATGTTTTATTTTAAAATTATGGGGTACAGTTAAAGGTTTGGTATACAAATATGAATTGTTCAGGCACCCTTGTTGATAAGGGGTGTCTCCCCACCCCTGGACACATATTGACTACCGTTAATCCCACCTCCCTTCCCCTCCCTCCCACCCCCATAGTTTCCCACCACTGTCAATCCTTTTATTATAGTATTATGATAGATGTTCAAGGTCCACTATATGAATGAGAACATGTGATACTCAGATCTTTGTTTCTGTGAGAGATCACTCAGTATTACAGACTCTAGTTCCATCCAGGTTGCTGCGAAATTCATGATTTTGTTCTTTCTTATGGCTGCGTAGTATTCCATCATGTATATGTACTTTTTTTTTTTTTGAGTTGGAGTCTCACTCTCTCGCCCAGACTGGAGTGCAGGGAGCGACCACCGCAGCCTCGCCTGCTGGGCTCTGGGGATCCTTCTGCCTCAGCCTTCTGAGTAGCTGGAAGTACAGGCATGCACTACCACACCCGGTTGATTTTTTTATTTATTGTAGAGATGAGGTCTCGCTGCCCAGGCGGGTCTCGAACCCACGGGCTCAGGCAATCCACTCACCTCAGCCTCCCAAAGGCATGGGATTACAGGCTGAACCACCGAGCCCAGCTTATACCACATTTTTTTAATCCAGTCCTCTTTTGAGGGACAGCATGGTTGTTCCAGGTTCTTGCTATTGTGAACAATGCTGCAATAAACATACGTGTGCAGGTATCTTTTTTATAG